CACATGAGTTGCATTTAACTCACACTAATTTTGAGCCCAAGGCCTCGTGAAGCATATGTAACTCACATGTCGTTTCACCTTGGGAGCCACAAGAACTATTTTTCAAGTTACATATGACTCATGCACAGAAAACCAAAAAATGACAAATTTTTCATTCAATTAGAAAGGATCGTTTTGTTTTCGAAGTTTTTATTCTATTTTTGTAATAAAACACTGTGGCCCCAAGGAAAAACAATTTTTTTTCTAGTGTGGCAGTCGATATGTTAAAGGAAGGACTTCACCGCTTCTCTTTGGCATATCTGAATTGCCAGCATCGCTACTCTTGCACTTTTAGGCCATTATTAAGGAAAATAAGAGTTACTTGAACCTTAGCACTGAGATAACTGCAACAGCAGATCTGATAACCAACACAGCCACTAAGTGACTAATAGGCATAGCTGGATCCCCAGAACAAAGGGTTGGTTCACACCCCAGGCAGGATGGAGCAGGATGACACAAGATTTCATCATGTTATTCAGAATGGCATACCATTGAAAACTTACGAATTGTTTGTTTCTAGAATTTTCCATTTAATATTTTCGGACCACAGCTGACTGTGGGTAACTAAAACCAGAGAAAGTGAAACCGCAGATAAGGGAGGACTACTGTACACCCATGTAATTATCACCCAGACGAAGAGGGAACATTTCCAAAGGCCACATGGTTTGCTCCTGCACCTTTGAAGTCTATACCCTCCACCTATAAGCAGTATTTTAATTTCTATGATCAGATACTAATTTTGCCTGTTTTTAAATTCATTTATATAGAATCACGTATTCTCAGTAGGAAGTCTTTTGTAATCTGGCTTTTGCTCAAACAATTGATGGGATTTATTGATGTTGCAGGCATCAGGTTTTTAAAAAAATTTGTGTATTATTGCATTGTATGAATATACTAATGTTTATCCATTCTCTTACGAGTGGGCATTTGGGTCATTTTGAGTTTTTGGCTTTTGTGACTAAGCTGCTGTGAATATTGCTATACATGGTTTTGGTATGTATATGCATCTGTTTCTGTTGGTTACATACAGCAGAATTGCTGGGTTATCGAGTGGATGAATGTTTAGTGGAAACTGTCAGTTTTCTAAAATGGCTGTACCATTTTTCAGCTTTTACCGGCAAAGTATGAGAGTTCTAGTTGTTGTCTTCTCTATCACTGGTCAGTCTTTTGAATTTTAGCTGTCTGATAACTGTATAGTTGTTATCACTATGGATTTTAGTTTCATTTTTCTGAGGAGATAATGTGTTGAATATCTTTTCACATGCCATTTAAATATTCTATTGTGAAGTGCCTGTTCATGTCTTTTACTCATTAAGAAAAATGGTTATGCCTTTTTAATAATCTTTCTAAAGTCATTTTAGTGGGGTTTTGGGAGGGAATAGGGCTAATTGCCTGTGGGTAACCTGCCACCTTTAAATGGAAGTCAGGTAATGTTAACGTTTCATCCACCTTTTTTTTTCTCATTTCTGTCCTCTTTGGTGTGTGAATCAACTCATTTTTATTAGCTGGATATAATAGGGATTTATATTTAATCAAGTTTAGAATGAGACTCTTGTTTCAACCATAAGGATTGATATAGGAAACTATTACAAGAAACTGGAACAAGAAAATTATTTAATAGCTGTATTCTGATTTATTCTCTTATGTAATTAACAAGATATTTAGGACCAAAAGCTTTCTTTTATTTATTCATTCATCAAATACATATTAAGTACTTTGTGACAGACCTAATAGGCTTAGGGAATAGTACCATAGTAAAGAAAACAGAAATAAGTAAGGCTCTTGTTTTCTTGAAATATATTCAGGTAGGAGAGATGGATAATAAATAAGTAAACTAAACACCTAAACAAGATTAATTAAAGATAATATTTCCTGTTTTGCAGAAATGGAGCAAGAGCCACAAAATGGAGAACCTGCTGAAATTAAGATGATCAGGGAAGCATACAAGAAGGCCTTTTTATTTGTTAATAAAGGACTGAATACAGATGAATTAGGTCAGAAGGAAGAAGCAAAGAACTACTACAAACAAGGAATAGGACACCTGCTCAGAGGAATCAGCATTTCATCAACAGACCCTGAACGAACAGGCCCTGGGTGGGAATCTGCTAGACAGATGCAACAGAAGATGAAAGAAACACTACAGAATGTACGCACCAGGTTGGAAATTCTAGAGAAGGGTCTTGCCACTTCTCTACAGAATGATCTTCAGGAGGTGCCCAAGTTATATCCAGAATTTCCACCAAAAGACCTGTGTGAAAAGTCACCAGAACCTCAGTCCTTTAGTTCACCACCTCAGCATGCTGAAATAAATGGAAACACTCCAACTACAAGTGCAGGAGCAGTTGCTGCATCTGCTTCTCTGTCCTTACCATCTCAAAGTTGTCCAGCAGAAGCTCCTCCTGCTTATACTCCTCAGGCTGCTGAGGGTCACTACACTGTATCCTATGGAACAGATTCTGGGGAGTTTTCATCAGTTGGAGAAGACTTTTATAGGAATCATTCTCAGCCACCTCCTCTTGAGACCTTAGGGCTAGATGCAGATGAGTTGATTTTAATACCAAATGGAGTACAGATCTTTTTTGTAAATCCTGCAGGGGAGGTTAGTGCACCTTCGTATCCTGGGTACCTTCGAATCGTGAGGTTCTTGGATAATTCTCTTGATACAGTTCTAAACCGTCCTCCTGGGTTTCTTCAGGTAAGCCAAAGGAAAATGTAAACATAATTTGAAATATGTGTAGAATACATCGTTTTTATTTGTTATTATTTATGTGTTCAGC